CATTATTTTCAAATTTGACTCTCGGTGAAAGAAGGTATGTGTCACTTAGTTGTAGAACATTTCCTTCATAGTTAGTTTCTCAATGACAGTTTTTTATCAATATTTGTTATGTTCGGTGAAGAGCTACTACAATATTGAGTTTCCTGAGGCCATTAGCAAGCCCGGCTTTACATGTTGTAGAGTCTTTACTCATGGCTCCAAAACTGACGCAGGATAAGGATCTGGAGTCTATATTTAAAGTAACGGGGACAATCTTCATTTCTCTCTTGGCAAGCATGCCTCGGTATTTCAAGCCGGGAGATTTGCAATCCTCAATGCCATGGACTACGTTGAGGAAACTGGATTGAGAAGTCGGAGTTTATAGTTTTCTTTAGTGACAATTAAGCTGCGCTCAAGGTATTCGCCAGCCATCTAACTACTTCCAAGCTTGTTCGGCAATGCAAGTCTCGACTAAATTATGTATGTGCGAAAACACAACGAACTTACTATTAATGAGACATCTGATCATTTGACTAGAGAAGGCTCAGACCAGGCATTCCTTGCACCGCAACCAGTCATGGGCTGCCCAACTTCGGCCTTCGTTGCCTTTGAGGTTTTGGCAGCGATGTGTTGAGAGGTGAATACCTAAGCTTTTCAACACCCAACAATCTGCTTCGATATATTCATAAATCGGGTAGATGTCAAAATCGATAAGTAACGCATTTCTCTGTTGCTATGTAGGTGTGCTGCGAAGGAGATACAAATTTAGAGAAGTTTCAGTTCAGTGGTGTGGCATCCTAGGAGCAATATTTTTTGTTTATTTTTGAGTCACATTTTTTGCTATTTTAATTTCCAAATAATCAGCTATCGTCACCTAGATTTCGTCATCATTGATAGGATATTCATAGTTTATATGGGTTTCGTGGCCACCATCCTTTTGCTGTGATTAAAACTAAATTTGCGTTTTGTTATACTAAAATTTAATGGGCTACCAAACTGCATACTCCAAAAAATCAGATAAGATTAAAAAATTTAAATTTGATGACAGTTTTTTTTAGTTTTTCTAAGCTCTGCATAAGGTTTGAAAGTTTGATTTATATGGTTTTGATTAAAGCATGAACCATATTTTTATGAAAAAATAACAAAAAAATTTAACTTTAAACACCTTGCAAATACATATTTAACAAAAAATTACCGTGTACTCATTTCGGCTCCCCAACTGTACGTAGCATATAGGAAAAAAATTATTTTTTTATTTCCTTTAAATTTTTAAAACGAAACCACTATATGGCCCACCCTTTGATTGCACAAAAATGCTTGCAAATTTAAGGCTTTTTAGCGATTCGCAAGTAAATTCTTCCTTATTGTCTTAAACGAGCTCTACAACACCAAATGAGGTCTGAATTCTTTCAAGTACTCGTTCTTTTTTATTTTTCTTTTCTTTTTTTGAATTCCTTCAAGTTTGCGTTATTATTTTTCGCTTGTGGATTTCCTATGCTCGACATGTTTTCTGCGACGACTTTAGTATGCAACTCGGCGCAGAGCTTTCCAATTTACGTTAAAAATAAAACCTAATAAAAAAAAACAAATTAATTCCATTGCTTAAATGAAACTCAAAAATTCGTAGCACTTGAATGAAATTATTTTATAATAATGCGATCAATTTTTTTTATGTATTTTTTTTTGATTTTATTAACTTTGTGCATTTCCTAGCACTCACTGAATACCATAGGTAGAGGTTATTTATTTATGCAGATTAACAGTAAGTATGTGAATTTTATATTTAGCAGCGTACGTACCACATACATTTCAAAAAAAAAAAAAAAAAACAAATGAGAAAACTCTCAATTTCGGGTTGACATGCATCGAATTGCAATTATCGAGATATGCGTTGGTTGGCGCTTTCGCGGCCGATATCAATAATTAGATTCGATTTGCCACGTCACCACCATGGAGCGTGCTGCCACTCGCTGCTACCGCAGAGGTCTTTGGATTCGAGTAGCTTGCTTTTGTCAGCCACGTGCGTGAGTGCAACACGCTTACGCTTATTAGCTTGTTGATAGCGTCGTAAATCGCATACACCCACACAGCAGTGGGCAATAGTAGTATTTACATTAGGGTGGTCCAAAAAGAGTAAAGCTTGAATTTTAATGCTCTCATCCCTAGAATTGTTCTATATCGAAAAAAATTTTACCCTTTTTTAACAGACTTCCAAAAAAGGAGGAGGTTATCAGTTCGTCGGAATTTTTTATTTTTTATTTTATTTTTTTATATGTGTTACCGCATAACTTTGGACCACGTCAACCGATTTCGATAATTCTTTTTGCAACGGTGGTCCCATACTAATTTGGTTTANTGAATTCTTTCAAGTACTCGTTCTTTTTTATTTTTCTTTTCTTTTTTTGAATTCCTTCAAGTTTGCGTTATTATTTTTCGCTTGTGGATTTCCTATGCTCGACATGTTTTCTGCGACGACTTTAGTATGCAACTCGGCGCAGAGCTTTCCAATTTACGTTAAAAATAAAACCTAATCAAAAAAAAAAAAAACAAAAACAAATTAATTCCATTGCTTAAATGAAACTCAAAAATTCGTAGCACTTGAATGAAATTATTTTATAATCAATGCGATCAATTTTTTTTGTGTATTNTCGGGTTGACATGCATCGAATTGCAATTATCGAGATATGCGTTGGTTGGCGCTTTCGCGGCCGATATCAATAATTAGATTCGATTTGCCACGTCACCACCATGGAGCGTGCTGCCACTCGCTGCTACCGCAGAGGTCTTTGGATTCGAGTAGCTTGCTTTTATCAGCCACGTGCGTGAGTGCAACACGCTTACGCTTATTAGCTTGTTGATAGCGTCGTAAATCGCATACACCCACACAGCAGTGGGCAATAGTAGTATTTACATTAGGGTGGTCCAAAAAGAGTAAAGCTGGAATTTTAATGCTCTCATCCCTAGAATTGTTCTATATCGAAAAATTTTACCCTTTTTTAAANAGTGGGCAATAGTAGTATTTACATTAGGGTGGTCCAAAAAGAGTAAAGCTTGAATTTTAATGCTCTCATCCCTAGAATTGTTCTATATCGAAAAAAATTTTACCCTTTTTTAACAGACTTCCAAAAAAGGAGGAGGTTATCAGTTCGTCGGAATTTTTTATTTTTTATTTTATTTTTTTATATGTGTTACCGCATAACTTTGGACCACGTCAACCGATTTCGATAATTCTTTTTGCAACGGTGGTCCCATACTAATTTGGTTTAGATCATTGGATCATGAAATATATAGATATATATATATATTTTTTTAAGTCGGTTTTTTTTTTTTGCTAAAAATTACTTGTTTTATTTTGCAATCAAAAAATATTTAGAGGTCGCTCCAAGCGCTAAAATTTTTCCATGTATTTTATAAGGGGAGAAAACAACTTTTCGTTGAAACGGTACAGAATTCTTGAAAATCAATATTTTTCGATCGGAAAACTTTTTTACCTTTTTTTTAATACTAAATATTGTTTATTGGTCCCCCATTGCATTTTTCGGAATTTTTGGAGGATTTTGGTGGACCTATAAATTATAGTTACTATGAAAAAATGGTTAAATAAACAGTTGGGTATTATTATTGGGAATCTCTTGCAGAGAAACAGAGTTTTCCGATCGAAAATAGTGATTTTTAAAGACTATATCATTTTTACGAAAAGTTGTTTTTTTCCTATATAAAATACATGGAAAACTTTGAGCGAGCTTAAATATTTTTTGATTTCAAAGTTAAAAAAAAACGGGGGTATATTTTTTCGCATTAAAATTCCGACTTTACTTTTTCACATGTATTTTTGAACCACCCTAATGTACATACATATGTACCTACTTGCCTGCNCATGAAATATATAGATATATATATATATTTTTTTAAGTCGGTTTTTTTTTCGCTAAAAATTACTTGTTTTATTTTGCAATCAAAAAATATTTAGAGGTCGCTCCAAGCGCTAAAATTTGTCCATGTATTTTATAAGGGGAAAAAACAACTTTTCGTTGAAACGGTACAGAATTCTTGAAAATCAATATTTTTCGATCGGAAAACGTTTTTTTTACCTTTTTTTTAATACTAAAGATTGTTTATTGGTCCCCCCATTGCATTTTTCGGAATTTTTGGAGGATTTTGGTGGACCTATAAATTATAGTTACTATAAAAAATGGTTAAATAAACAGTTGGGTATTATTATTGAGAATCTCTTGCAGAGAAACAGAGTTTTCCGATCGAAAATAGTGATTTTTAAAGACTATATCATTTTTACGAAAAGTTGTTTTTTGTCCTATATAAAATACATGGAAAACTTTGAGCGAGCTTAAATATTTTTTTAATATCAAAGTTAAAAAAAAACGGGGGTATATTTTTTCAGTATAGCAAAATCCTAGGGGGTGAGCGCATTAAAATTCCGACTTTACTTTTTAACATACATTTTTGGACCACACTAATGTACATACATATGTACCTACTTGCCTGTGCGCTAACGTTGCAGCGGTTTTACCCGATTTACGTGCCCAGCATTTGCTAGTAGAATTTCAAAATGTATACTTTTGGTTGATTGGCCATTGGTTGTTGGCTGGTTTCGTGTTTAGCTTCTTGAATTAACACCAACCGCCCTTCGTGTGCAAAGTGTCACTCGAATCGCTCGAAGTGAAGAGGTCATACACTCATATGAGTTGCTCACGACGAATGGTTAAAAAAAACACAAATTAAAATAAAAAATCTACAAAATTAAAAAACAAAAAAATTTCGAGAGCACAATTTTATGCGATCCGCAACACCTGAAGTGGTGGTATCGTACGAGGTGGGGGTGGGGTGGTAATTGCGGCGTCGTCAAGTATGTAGTAGAGCACAGAGCAAATATTCAAATTTTTTGGAAACCGTCTTTCTGCTCTGCTTCGAGTCTTCTAGTCGTGGTATCAGCGCGCGGTCGAGTCGCTCAATTTTTTGGGTATAAAAAGCGTCGCGATTTTGGAAAAAGTATGTCAGTTTTATTTTAATCAACCGACAGTGAGAATCTAATCAGCTTAAGCACACAATGAGTCCATTTGTTGTAAGTACTACAATTAATGGATGTGGCGATCATTGCATCCTCGATCGCATACCGCATATCGCACACCCCTCAGGCAACGGGCACTTTGATTACGACTGTTGGAGCGAAAAGCAGAAGCGCAGCCAAAGCAAGGGATTCTTGGATTACCAACGCAGCCAAAGCGCGCTCAAAGCTCTGCCATTCGCCCCGCCCCACCAGTCGTGTTCGCAATCCGCGTGTCCGTTGTTTCAAAGTTAAAAACGATTTTAAAAAATATCTTTCTTCTTTTCAAACTTTTAGTTTGCCGCTGTTCTGTCCACTTTGGCACTCTCCGCCAATGCTGGTATTGTTGCTGGTCCCGCGCCCCTCGCATATGCTGCCGCACCTGCTTCACCATTTGCCTACGCCGCCGCACCAGCTGCCTATGCCGCCGCCCCCTTCTACGCTCGTTATGCCGCTGCTCCAGCACCTTTGGTTGCTGCCGCTGCTCCTGCACCCATTGTGAAACCAGTTGTTGCCAGACAATTCGCCGCTGCGCCAGCACCACTTCTTGCTCCTCGCGCTTTTGCTGCTCCAGTTGCCGCACCGGTCGCTGCCGCCCCTGCTCCATTAGTTGCCGCCGCCGCTCCTGCACCACTAGCTGTCGCTTCAGATATTGTTGACCCATACCCACAGTACAGTTACGCCTACAACGTGCAGGATACTCTGACCGGTGACTCAAAGACCCAAGAGGAGACACGCGATGGTGATATCGTACGCGGCTCATACTCGCTCATCGAACCCGATGGTTCCCGTCGTATTGTCAACTACTACGCTGATTCCATCAACGGTTTCAATGCTGTCGTACAGAAGGATGTGCCGGTGGCTGCTGTTGCACCCGTCGTCGCTGCCAAGTCTGTTGCTGCCCCCCTCGTAGCCGCGCCAGCACCAGTTGTTGCCAAGTCCTTCGCTGCTCCAATTGTTGTCTAAGCCACACGGAAGGAAACAGGCCGGATTATTGACCATTGACCTATTGATTACCAACGTACCGACACCCTCTTGTCCAAATGTCAGCTAATTGTTGAGTTGCGATTGCCTTGCCGATTGAATGAGGAGCGCTGTGCGCGCCAAATATGGGCGGAACAAGGCAATTCAACAGGGGACATCCATTTGTAAATAAACTAGAAATACTCATTGTCTTTGTTGAAAACTTTCATCGTTAATAAAAAAAATTTGATAAACAATTAATTGGACTTATGGCTATATTAAGTTACCAAGTTCGCTGATCTTCTAGGGAAATACACCAGCTTCCTTCAAATGGAGATCTAGGCCAGTTATCTATGTGCAGCCTCCAGACTATGTATGGACTATAGTAACGAAAGCATAGGAGTTCTAAGTGGAAGTAACTTTAAGAGGCAAAGTGGCGGTCGCAAGACTCATAGCCTCGCAAAATATGTTTGTGTGGTCGCAGCTTGGTCACATTCATCTGCTACCCTCAGATAAGCCGCTGAACTTTCTTACGCCATGGGCTAAGCAGCTGAATCACAAAAATCTACCAAACTATCAATATGTCTACTCCAAAGGCAGATCTTTGGATATACAAATTTGTACAAATGCTATCAAAACACTAGCCTTAGGGATTGTTTTTCGTACCATCAATGATCACCGGTGGCTATCGGTAAATCCCTATTAGAAGTTGGAATAACGCCGCTTTTGGTAAAATGTATTCTTTTCGGCACAACAACTACCAAAGCGTAGATGGGACAAGTATGTATTTACCTCAAAATACGCAAAAAAATACCTGGAGCAGCTTAAGACCTAGTCTAATTGCGGTGGTAAATACACTCCATCCCTGAGCTATCTAATACAAAACATCTTAGCTCTTGTGGAAACTTCGCCGGACTTACTCCCTGCTATGCGAGCTGCTTAGAAAGGGGGTAATCTCAGGAACTTGAAGGAGTGTGAGGATAACGTATTTCTGAGGGACTTCGAACCACTCAGCCTCCCCCTTTCCTATTGAAAACTCTCGAGAGCGATTGAGATATTGCAGTTGGTGCCTTCCTTAATACCGGGGAACTTTACATAAGGTATTATCCGGACTACTTAGGATTATCTGCCGCATGCTGCACGACAGAACTGTCACAGCGAAATGGAATGACTATTTAGGAGTTGCGAAATACTAAAATCAAAAAAATTAGTGGTTAGGAGTTCCTTTATACTAAATTAAAAAAATAAATAAATAAAGAATTTAACAGTTGCTAATTACCTTGATCTAAAGTAATTAGATATCTTAGAGATTGGGAGCAATAAAGTACTAAGGTATTTAGTCAATGGCTAAATTCTTAAACACTAAATACCTTACATTGACCTCACTCAACTCATCTCAAATCAATTTATCTTAACTCACTCCACTTCAACGCGTCTCGACTCATCTCTGCTCAATACGATGAAGCAAATTACAAATAAATTTTAGTTCAGGAAATCCCGTTATATGTATGTATTCCGAAAAATCCCCAGTATAAGCGCCAATCTATAATTAGTCCGAAAAATCCCGAACCGGTCACTACAATTGAGGAGCAGTCACGAAAATCACGAAAATCGAGATGGAATCCCAAAGAACACTCCCAGAATTTTGGAAACAGTCCCGACAATCGAGAAGTAGTCCCAACAATCCGAAATAGTCCCGAAAATTCCGAGGTAGTCAAGAAAATCGTGAATGAATCTCGCGAAACCTGAAAATACCGAGGTGATCCCCAAACCGTGCCGAAAATCGAGAAGTAGTCCCAAAATCTCGAGTATGCCCCGAAAAAATCACGAAAATAGGGACGTATTTCCGAAGATCCCGAAATTGTCCCGAGTATCCCGAAGTCACGAAAATCGAGAAGTAGTCCAAAAACGCCAAACCGGCCTCAAAATCTCGAAGCATCTACTTAGTCTGGAAAATCCTGAAACTATCCCGAGAATCCCGAAGTAGTCTCAAAAATCTCGAAACAGTGCCAAAAATCCGCAAATTCTTTATTTTCAATAAAAAATTTGTATACTGAGTTAATTGCGAGTACATATTTAATATTTAATCAAGAAGTCATAATTACTAAGTTTCCAGTATTTAGTGAAGCTAAAAACTTTAAGTACTTTACAACGCGGTAGATAGTGAAGCCAATGTCTCTTAGTACTTTTGTACACCGTATTTCATTAGGTAAAACTAACTACATAAATACTTTTATACGCGGTATTTAGTAACATGCAAAACACTTAAATAAATAGTACAAAAACAAATACATAATACAAATTCTCACCACAACTACTTGCAGTAATTTAGATGAAGAATATTGGATGCTCGCAAATCACGAGAATGTTGCACGCATGCGCCTAAAACTCGAACCGCAATTGTATCCGAATAAGCACGAGAATGCGGCGAATTTACGCGATAATGCCACAAATGCCTACGATCCAAGGTAAGGATGAGAAAGAATCATGTTGAAATGTATACAATTAATACACAAAAATATTTTCTATAGAGAAATCTCGGAATTCGATTCGACCATAAAGAATGCCGTGGTGCGTGACTTCTTGGCCGACGATGAGAATTTGCAGCTCGAAGAAGNATTCTTAAAAGATTTCTCTCGCCTTAGATAAATCCCAAAAATGAAGCTGGCGTTCGCATCAAATATGAATCATTTGAAGATCCTTCTGGCGCAATACCGAAATTCCATTATGGCACACATTATTCGAATTCAGGTGGCGTCTTGCACTATTTGCTGCGCGTCGAACCATTTACCTCGCTACACATTGAACTACAAAGCGGTCGCTTCGATGTGGCAGATCGGCAATTTCATTCGATACCACAAACATGGAAATTGTTAATGGATAATCCGAATGATGTGAAGGAGCTGATACCGGAATTCTTTTATTTTCCTGAATTTCTAAAAAATATGAATAAGTAAGGGGCATGTTTATATTTGTGAAACACCTTTTTTGAAAGATTTTACACAAATAATTTAATTTCAGATTCGATTTGGGTCACTTACAAATAACAAAAGAGAAAGTAGACGATGTCATACTGCCGCCTTGGGCTACCACACCCGAAGAATTTATTGCCATCCACCGGCGTGCTTTAGAATCGGAATATGTTAGTCAAAATCTGCATCATTGGATCGACTTGATTTTTGGGTGAGTTTGATATTACCAAAAATATGTACCTTCAGCTATGTAATAACTTCTGCTGTTTCCTCTTCCCACCCACAGCTACAAGCAAAAGGGACCCNACCGGCGTGCTTTAGAATCGGAATATGTTAGTCAAAATCTGCATCATTGGATCGACTTGATTTTTGGGTGAGTTTGATATTACCGCAAATATGTACCTTCAGCTATGTAATAACTTCTGCTGTTTGCTCTTCCCACAGCTACAAGCAAAAGGGGCCTAAAGCTGTCGAAGCGCTCAACGTTTTCTACTATTGCTCCTATGAAGGTGCCGTAGATCTGGATAAAATAACCAACCCGGTCGAGCGTGAGGCAGTTGAGGGTATGATCAACAACTTCGGTCAAGTGCCATCGCAATTATTGCGTGAACCACATCCGCGTCGTTTGACACAGGAGGAGACTGCGTTGAAATTAGTGCGCGCCGAATTGAAGCGACCAGATTTGACGCAATTTCTCGATAAGGTTGTGCAATACTATTGTGAGCTATCAACACCAAAAGATCCAATTGTCTTCCTAAGCGCACCGCGTAGTCCGCCACGTTCATTTCTACAGCTCAGCCCTGATGTGCTCGTCAGCATATCCAAATCTTGCATACTTGGTGCGAATTCATGGATGTCGTACGACAAAGAACGAGGATTTTTATTGGAAATCGATGCGACAACCACGAACTTGAAGTGGGTGTTATTATTAATTGCTGCCTTTTTACACCTAAATCTAACGTCTCCCCTTTTTTTTTTTGTAGAAATCGTAAACGCATATTCGGTCCCTTTCATCCCTCGNAAATCTTGCATACTTGGTGCGAATTCATGGATGTCGTACGACAAAGAACGAGGATTTTTATTGGAAATCGATGCGACAACCACGAACTTGAAGTGGGTGTTATTATTAATTGCTGCCTTGTTACACCAAAATCTAACGTCTCCCTTTGTTTTGTAGAAATCGTAAACGCATATTCGGTCCCTTTCATCCTTCCCAAAATCCACACTCACAATTATTCGCTGTGAGCACAGATGGTAAACTGCTATACGCGGGTGGCATTTGGGATAATTCGCTGCGTGTATATAATTTGCACAAGGGCAAGGCGGTGGCATCAGTGACGCGGCATTTAGGTGTGTGCATAAATGTCGTTCAATGAGCGATCGCTTCTTAAGCTTTTGTAAATATTTAACTCTTTACTTATTCTGCTCCTCCTCGTTAGACATTATCACCTGCCTGGCGTTGGACAATTGCGGCTCCTACTTAGTGACCGGTTCACGTGATTGCACTTGCATTGTTTGGAGCATACAGAGTCAACAGTATGGTAGCGCGCAGGCCAGCACAAACATTCCAATGCATGCACTCACAGGTCAGGCGCATTTGCAGGCGGTCACACAATTGAATACGCAAAATGTATTCTCACCCAAACCATTGACCACTCTGTATGGTCATGACGATGCAATTTCAAGTGTTGCCATTTACACTGAATTAGATATGGTGGTTTCGGGATCGCTGGTACGCTCTAAATTTGCAATTATGTAGTTGTTTATTATGGAGATACGAAATTTTATGCTTTCTTTTATGCTTGCATTCTAGGACGGCACTGTTAATGTGTACACCATTCAGAATGGCCAATTTGTGCGTACACTAAAGCCAATTGGTTGTACAGAGACTTGTGTGCAGATATCGTTTGTCACCGTTTCATATCATGGTAAGTGATGAATTACATATTTGATTTTAAATTGAGCGGCCGCTGTAGCCCAGTGCTTAGCGGTGCATACTACCACTCCGTAGAACTTGGGTTGATGCCTGATTCGAGTAACATCTGAAAATAGAAAAATATTTTTGCCTAGAAAAAGCTGCTCTTAAAATCCATTTTCCCTTCAGAGGTGGCGTAAGACTTGGAGGAGAAGCTCGACCAAACATCCATATTCAATTCAGACAAAAAATAATAATTTTTCACTTAGTTTCGCGAAACTGCCTATTAGCAAAAGCGTAAGCACCAAATATTTAAATGGAAATAATTTAAAATATGTAATTTATTTAATGCTGTCAGTGTATCAAAAATTTCAGCCTGAAAGTAGGCAGTATTTTTGTTTGTTGAATGTTAGTGATCTTGCTCTAATGTTAAATTGCATAATTTTAACAGCAGTTTTCGCTGTTTGCTAAAATTATGTTAGCTACATCAGGGCAGAGAATGTTAATAAAATTAACATTTTCTGATAAATGTAAATAAAATTGTTTTTGGATTTTGAAATCACAAAGATACCATTATAATCTTCAAACATTGTAGAGTACGGCTTCCGGATAACTTTAAAAAACTTTTATTATTTTGATCAAGAAAAACATAGGACTACATTTTTCAGAGCCAGGCTCACCTTTTTTTTCATCGCCACAGGTTCTCGAGATATTCAAACCCACCAATTATAATCGATGGATACAGAACAAGCCTAATGTAAATGAAAAAGCCTAAAATTATATTAAAAATATTTCAGTATTTATTTATCTCCGCAACAAAAATAAACGACTTCAGTCGGTCAATGCTGACCGTTACCGTTAGTGTCTCCATGATCCAATGAACGGAACTAAACCAAACCATTTTTTTTAAGTAACACATCGATTTTTTCTATTAAATTTCATAATGAAAATACATATATGCTGAGAAATAAAATTGGTTTTTTGTCTAGGCTTGAATATCTCGAACTGGATTCAAATTCAGTACAACCTCGAAAAAATTTGTATGGCCTTAAAGTGTGGACTTTTGTAGGCCCGTAATATCTACCGATTATTTTTGCTTTAATTTCTTGCCTCAATAATAATAGACTGAAGCCCTTCTAGATAATTCAGGGTTTTCAAGACTTGAAGATTTGCACGGAGTTTTTAATGATCTGTTCAATTTTTTTCGGAACATTTTGTGTTTTGCTTTTCGTGATTTTTCGGGAACTTATTTGATTATTTCGCGAAACTTTGCCTCATACATTTGCAAATTTACATTTAAAAATTAAAAAAGCGAAACCTAGTCTTCGTTTTTTGCTCAAAAGAAAAAAGTTATTTAAATTTATTATTATTAAANTTTCGGGAACTTATTTGATTATTTCGCGAAACTTTGCCTCATACATTTGCCTTAAAAATGAAAAAAGCGAAACATAGTCTTCGTTTTTTGCTCAAAAGAAAAAAGTTATTAATTAACATTTTTTTATTTTATCTTTGTTTTTGCTATTTATTATGTAAAGCATACCGGATATAGTCTCAAGTTGTGATAATGGGAAAAAACTGTCAAGGAATGCAAGAACATCTGCTGTGTTACTGCCGAGCATACAGGTGATCGGGGCTCAGCTATGTAACTAGCCTCCTTACTGTAGCAAATTTCAGAACAAAAGACTAGCTATTTGTTAAAAACTCGCCATAGAGTGCATTATGAATAAGATTTAGAAGATGTCATGTCTATTCTATTGAGTTGCGTTGTGTGAGACTATACGCAAAGGTTATTAAAATCTATCATACCTGTCCCAAGGCCTTCAGGTCAACCAGTGTTTTTGCTCTGTGGCTAAAACTTATTTAGTATTTTTTCGCTTCTAAACGTATCATCAGCATCGTTAAAACTCTAACNCTAGCTATTTGTTAAAAACTCGCCATAGAGTGCATTATGAATAAGATTTAATAGGTGTCGTGTCCATTCTATTGAGTTGCGTTGTGTGAGAATATACGCAAAGGTTATTAAAATCTCACATATCAGTCCCAAGGCCTTCAGGTCAATCAGTGTTTTTGCTCTGTGGCTAAAACTTATTTAGTCTTTTTTTTGCTTCTAAACGTATCATCAGCATCGTTCAAACTCTAAAATTGAGGCATATTAATTCTTTGTTTGATAATTACATATTGCATTATTTGAATTTTATTTATATTATAATATTAATGCGCATAAAGCTTTGTATAAACTAGTACGGTTTTCGTATGTAAATCCATCGCGTTATCCGTAATCTTTTTAGCGCTAATCAGAATCAAGACCATACATACATACACGCATACAATATGTATGCTCTAAAGTCCGTGAACGTTTTGTAATTAACATACATACATATCTCTACTAAACTATTTAGTCAATGACCTAAGCCAACAAATTCAAAGATTGCCACAATTTACATTGTTGCTTTTGAAAGCATGAGAACACTTATCATATCAGACTAGCTAAGCTAACGAATATGCGATTAAATAAATAATGACGGTGCACATTTTTCCACCTACATACATATGTACATATGCTTGTATGTAAATATATGCATATGTATGTAAATTTATGTGCATAAGGCCGTTAGAACAAATATGTAGGTTCTTACCGTATATACTTATTTAACTTTGTATGTACATATTTACATACATATGTACATATTTACATACATATGTACATGCTAATGTGTATCACGTGATTGAATTATCTCGTGAAAAGAGCACTTCTGTGTACACTTTATAAAAACTTTTGTATGTGCACTCAACTGTTTATACTGTACATATACTGTACTTCTGTTCATACAAACACATCCATACATATGTATGTATTGTTTGTGCTATATAAACTGTCTAGATCAGACGGAACTACTATAACATTTGGAAATTAAAATAGAAAAAACTAAAAATGTATGTACATATGTACATATGTTTGTATGCATATGTGCATTAATAAATTAAAGTATACTAGGAGTACTAGTTACTGTCAAAATTCGACCTGCTTTCTGGTGTTAAGGCGGCTACAATATCCAGACCGTAACTGAGCCAGGGTACGCGGGTCTTCTGCAGGTGTTGATTGGGCTCCGATCACGGCATTCATAGGCCGGTAGTCGAGGTAGGTGGTGACCGACTCCCTATGAATGTCGTTGATCGCTCGCCTGTACGTCGTCGGTCCAGTGGTTGGTCAACGTATTTCTGGACTGCGTCCTTGTACACGAATAGGTGCCCCCTGGTGTGCCTGGGCGTAGACTCCTCTAGCAGTGGTATGTTAGGGTGTTTTCATTTCTGTGGCGCCCCACCAGTGGTGCACTGTTTTTAGGCTGTTTGTCCAGCCTGTCCTGGTCACTCGACGAAGGATGCAATGTGAATTGCCGACTACAGTAGCTGGCGCATTTCTTCGGGTCCGACGCAGCGTGATCTTCGAATGAGATTTCTACTCTGTCATCACGATTCGTCGGGTTAGCTAAGGAGCTCACGGTTGGCCAGAGCTTATTCACACCAGAGGCGAAGTTATAGGTCATCAAGTGCTCTTCCCACTTTTTCCGCTTGTGCTGATTTACCAGGTGCCGAATCTCCATATTAAGGTCCTTCAAGCGAGGAACCCCGCGATCGACCTGGCGAAGGTGGCTGTTTCAGCCGGGAAATGTAGGCGGACTTCCGTGATGCGTCCGAATGGTATGAAGCGAGCCGCTGCGGCAGTGACTACCCTGCGGAACTGGCGTTCGCCGGCATGTACGTCTGCGGGTGTAGGAAGGGCGGCGAAGCTGCTATCGGTAACTTCCGCCAAGCCTTTCCTATCAGCTTTGTTAAAGTTGGTGTAGGTTCGGAGGTCCGCGGATGCAAAGTCGGTGGGCTTATTGATCGAGATGATTATGGGCAGATGGTCTGATGCTAGTGTTCGCATAGGTCGCCATGATATGCTATTTATCAGACCAGCGCGAGCAATTGTTAGGTCTGGCGAGCTGCTGCAGCTGCCTACAATCCTGGTGGGGCGTCGTCGTTCATGGTGCAGAATGTCGAAATGTCTATCTGCTCAGACAAAAGATTTCCCCTACGATCATTAGCCAGGCTTGAGTGCCAAAGATCGTGGTGCGCTTTGAAGTCACCTACTACCATTCGGTTCTTGCATCAGGGAATCCATTTCCGTGGTCGCAAAAACCAAAAAATTTATTTAACAATTTTTTTAAGTTCATTGCATGCTGTTCTTAAGTCAAAAGAATAAAAATCAAAAGATTTTTCTTTTGAAGGTCGGTCTCTAGTAAAAAGTAATATGTTTGATATTTTGTCTCGCTTACCTAAAATAATTTGTAATAAGCTTTTCAAAAACAATTTGAAACTTTTCAAAAGCTTCATTGCATACTGGTTTCAGGCCAAAAATAAATAAAAAAAATTTAACCATCTATTTTTGAAAGATATTATAAACGTCAAGGTAATTATTCTACCACTTGAAACTAATTTTTTTATGAATTCCCACCTCAAAATCTTTTAAATTCCTTTCCAGTTATTTTGCTATCTCCTCTCGTTTGATTTTGTCCCTTTTTTTTTCAAAAATAGAACACTTTGCGGCGTATACACGGCCCACCGTGCACAGTAAAAGCAGGTCCACATAGAACTTTCGCGTTGGCTTTGGCGTTGGTTTGACAGACCGCACGTTGAAAGTATGCTTGCCACAATGAACGCTTGGCAGCGAATGCTTTGACATACTAACGATAGATAAATTAATACTTCATATCAATAACTGCGTGAAAAACGAAAGTTCGCATTTGAGTAAAAAGGAAACATATTTGAAATAATTATATTTCTTTGCAACAGCTGACGAGCGCCTCACGCAAAAAGTTGAGAGTTGACCATCTTTCTGATTTGTGTTGGCGTTAGCGTTGCGGAATTTTTGCTATTTAGACGGCTGCATCATTTGAATTCATGTATTCACAGTCAGCTGTTTAAGCGAAACCAACGCCAAAGTTCTATGTGGACGGGCCTTAACTCCATAATTCTTCGCGTGGTGGAGACTAGCTCTGTTATTGAAAAAAAGCAGCAAAGGAGAAAAGCGTAGCGTGCAAAACGTGGATGACAAACAAAAAAATATTTATCTTAGAAAAAACT